TATCTAAGGCAAGCTATAGACTGCCTGGTCATACCAAACACAGTAATAAAAATAATAAGGCGATTACGTACCAAAACTACACCCAAAGCGTTTCACTGGCTATTCAGTTTTGCTTAGTGTTCGCGACTAGACTCTCAAAGCTGGACAATGGTGTGAAATGGCTCTTGGGTGTGATCAAAACATACTGAGCTAATGGTTTTAAACCAAAGGAACAAGATGAGCTCCGAGCTCGTTCACCACATTAGAGTGCAAAAAATAAAAATAATGGAAATTTTAAAAGTATATATAAGTTGACTATATTGGTTGGGTAAAATTCAAGCCTGTTCCTGGTAGAGGTTAGAAATGATGTCAGTGTAAAAACTAAAAACTTAACTGACTGATAGAACTAGCTTTTATTACTTTTGTCTCCTCTTGGATTTTGGACTAAGACTGGAAATCATTGCAACGTTTATAGTATTTTTTTAGCTAATTTTTTTATTCTATTTTTGAAAAACTTCCTGGGATTAAATTTTCCCTGTACAAAAAGCTTAGAAGATTTTATCAATTTCCACTTTAATCATTACCGAGTCTTCTCTTGAGTACCGCTGAGTACAAACCATTTCGATGGGTGCAAACTCTGCGAAGCCGTAAAGGGTGCCGTTTTCTCCGGCAATTGGCTTCTGAAAAGCTCTCTGATTACCTTTGGTAGCAAAAGTACCAGTGATGTGGTTGTGAAAACCGTCAGCAACATCGCTTTGATCCAGTATGGTGAAAGAGAAGCTTCCCATGAAGGGCCAGGGAAGGATATTATCAAACTCGCCCCGCTTTGTGCGAACAAACAGACTGATGTGCTCCCTGTCCCCACCGTTCACACCCAGTGGAAAAATTACTAGGGAAAACTGGTATCCAAATGGATCAGTGGAAAATGGAAGACTCTCGTATGACCACCCCACCACATCCCTCGCATTCTGGATGAGCTTGGAGAAGTTCTCCACTTTGAGGGTGAACTTTCCGCCACAGAATTGTGCCAATAGAGCTGCCATAAGTGTTAGTGAAGCTGGCCTGAAATTGTAGAGCAGATCATCGATATCACTTACTAGTGGCTGACATTCAGGTCAAAGTTCTAGCATATAATATTTATTTCTCGTCCACTGATAAAAACACTGCTTTACCTTGACTTGCTAAGGGGATTTCCCACTTTAAAAATTCTTAGTTTTTTTACCTTCAGATGTTTACAGAGCCACAATAATAATCAATTATTGATTAACTAACTACCCGGATTCTGAATTTCATGGTCATTGAAAAACTGTTTTGGCTGAGTTTGTGCTTCGGGAGTTTTCTATAATCTGTCATGATACAGCATTCTTGTTCAGCACGCGTGCAATGACCGCGCTTGGCTGACTTCCGAATGCTCACCGAGATATGATAATTTTGGTACGGTGTGTAGCATTTCTCGACTTTTTTGCAAAGGCACAAGAAGCACGAGAATTGACTAAAAATTGTGAGGTAAACCTGCATGGATCACGCGATCGCAGCCTGTCTCATCGTACCAAAATTATAGAAGGTAATGTCACAGTTTTTCAATGACCATGAAATTCAGAATCCGGGTAGTTAGTTAACCAATTGTGGCCATGAAAAAATCTGAAGGAAAAAAACTACGATTTTTTAAGAAAATGCTTTTTTCGTGAGAAGGACTGTTAAACGCTGACAAACGTCAACAAATAGTTAAAACTATAATTTCTATATGTTTGCATTGCTCGAAATCGCGCGCATTTACAAGGCCCTAAAGCTTTTTGCTGACTTACAAGGACCCATCTGTTATAAAGATCCCCAAAATAAAGGGATAAACCTCATAGTTTATTAGATATAAATGTGTAAAGTTCGCTAATCATTTTCACATAAATTATGACCTAAATTTGGAAACCGCTGAATTTCTCTGATTGGGTCTTAGCATAGTTAATTGAGTGGAATGGTTATGAAACCCGCCAGACTCCTTTGTTATATGTTTTTGTGGACCTGAAAGTGCACAACGTTCAAAAGAATTCCTATCATTTTGATTGTATTGACCAATAAAAACGTTGCATTAATTTATTCCGTAACAATTTGCCAACGGAAAACAAAGGATTGTGCACTTTCAAGGTGCTTCCAACATAAACTGCAGCACTGTTGTTTTTATCATTGATGTTTGCCGCTTTTCATAACCAGTCTCCTCTAATAACTATGGTCTTAGCGATTTTGGTGAAACTCTGTTCAACGAAAGGCGGTAATGCGAACTATATGTACCCAAGAGATTTTCACGAAAAAAATGCCGGCAACAGCAGAATTTCGACTCAGACCCCAAAGAGGCGTGGCACTATAACCACGTGACATTTACTCCGATCGCCAACGGCATCGCCAACTATATGCAGTTGTCCATGCTGTATGTTAGACTTAGGATCAATGTAAAGGTGGGGATACCAGAGAGCTTCAAAGTAGGATGGTACCTTTACACAATAACTGGGTCGAGTCACCTTAATGTGGAATGCATTTCAGCTAATAGCCGTATTTGACACTTTTTACCTAAAACACTTATACGCTTGCACCAAGAATCGAGACCTATGGCCACCCTCGTGACTATAAAAACTTTAATGCCAGTGGTCTCTGTGAGTTTAGGATCACCAAAATACTCACTGATTGACAGTCGATTTATATACATTGCAGTCTGCATACAAGAAAATTTAATTTAATGTCATCCATTCATTTAAACAATTAGGCAATCTAGCTTTTTACAAAACGTCTATACCGAGGTGCCCCTGTTCGTTATCTTATACATGAACAAAGTTGCTGACTTGTAATCGCAATGGTGGAATAAGAGTACCGTTACTTAAAAGCACCATCAATTCCTAAAGTTCTCGCAGTCTCGCAGTCTATTGCAGTAGAAAGTATTTCTGAGACTTCAACTGTTTTGTCCAAATTCTATGTTTCTTAAAATTGAGTTCAAGCACATTAAAAAAAGGAAAGGAAAGAAAAGAGAAAGGAAGACTGCTAATGGGTGCAGCAGATAGGACCAAAGAAATTCCTACCTGTTCGATTCCTCGACTACTACCAACTGAGTATACTTGAAATGTTATGGTGAAAGTACTGTAGGTTATGACACTTGCCTGTTTAAAATCTCATGCTGATGTAACGGAAATTCAGGCATGTCAGGATGCTCAACTGGAAGTCTTCCAACGTTGTTTGCTGCCTCAGGAGGGTACCCAGCTCCATTGGCCAACACAGATGCTCCTGTCTGTTCTTGTCTATAACTCATTTGATTTGCTGAGGGTACAGTCACTGGGAGGTATCCTTCATTGGCTTGTTCACACACAGGGCTAGAATGCACTGGCTGTAGCAGGGGTTGCAAGGGAACCTCCAACTCCATTAGCTGATTAGGCGTATATGGTGGTACGTAAAAGACAGGATCTAAATTGTCTTCACTTCCATTAGCCTGCCCTTCCATCCGCTCTCCCAGGACAACTCCTCTACTTTCTTGACCCACAACTTCCTACAAGTTTAACATTGCATAAATATTTCACAGTGGTTACCAATAAGCTGTCTAAAATAATTATTATTGTAAATTTTTTTAAGGATAATGAACCATTATGTGTATGATAATAATTGCATATTATCTACATTAGAGAAGCAAATATCCATATCAACTACCTCTGGCAAACTTAGTTACCTACCTCTTGTTCTGTTGGCTGTAGCCTTTCCTCTGGGTGTTGCTGAGCTCCATTGCTTTCCAGGAATCCCCTGAGAAATCAAAAGAAAGCAAATGAGCATTGACGTTTAAATAATAGTTGGTGCACTATGATAATACTCACTGCCCTCAAGATATTAATTCAAATTACGTAGTTACTGCGGTTCATGTTCACTGTCTCCCATAATGGTAAAAATCCAATCATAAATAAAAAAGAGATAAAAAAAACAAAAAGCTTGAATTATGCTTTGAATCAAAATGTTAACATGACAAAACGAGAGAGGTTCGCAACATTCGCTATAAGTATCGTAGACAATTTATGCTTACTGCAGCAGTAAAGAAAAGAATATAAATGAAACAAATACGATTGTCGCGATTAATCATCAACCCGCCATACGGATCAAGTATCAAGACCATTCTTGACTTTTTCGTCAGTCGCTGAAATAACTGGCCGTTTGTCGAAGGGTTATTTTGGCAGTTGGGGACACGTTTTAGTGGCCGTTGCCGATGTGGAGAGGTGGCCGTTGTAGAGAGGTTTAAATAAGAGTCAATATATGGACTGTCCGCCGGGACAAAATAAAGAGGCCGTTGTAGAGAGGTGGCCATTATGGAAAGGTGGCCGTTATTGGAGGTTGAATCGAATGATGAAGTTATTACAGTGATCTGCCTTGTGGACTCTCTAATCACATTAGGAAGAAGCCAAGAAGAAACTTGGGGAAGCATTTGTTTAACGATATATTGTACTCTTTTCCCTGTGGCTATGAAAAGGGGGGCTCTCTAGAACTTTTGAGTATTATTTTTTAAACACACAGTTTACTAAAAAGCATTTTGTTTAGGGGGGAGGGGGGTTAAATAAAAAATACAATTCAGTTCTTCTTCATTTCCTTTATCTTTTTTTAAGGGCCACTAGTTCATCAGTTTTTCCTGTCATGTGCTTCCCTCATTAAATAAAGTTGTTGCTTACTTACTTACTTACTTACTTACCTACTTACTTCTTTTACGCTGGATTCTCTAAAATTACTGACAACGGCACGTAAAACTCTTACGAAATGTGACCTTCTTCACTTTTTAAAGTTTTACGGGGACCCTATGAACTAAAATAGTCCCGGCAAAATGCTTTAAACGGTGGGCTATAAGTTGCAAATTACATCAGGCTCTGTATGTCGTGGTTAAAATCTGATCTGATCGTTAATATTTTTATCGAGAAGCCATTTTAAATTAATTGTCTTGGACGGTATCACAATTTAAAAAAAAAAAGGCAAAACAATATTGAGTATTTCCACTGTTGAGTAGTTCTGTATATAAGACATCACCGTTTACAAACATTGTTTTGTTATTGAAATTTTTAACGCAGCACATTAATATCAATAGGAGGTGACGTCAGCTTGAGTATCACGGCTTCGCTAGTGTATTAAACCTTAATACCTTCTGACCTACCGATTTCTCATTCCTGTTCCACAATGACTGCTTTTGGAAGTCATACTTGCAAAAACTCTGTTTCCAATTATGCACGAATGAAAATAACGGATAAAAATTAGGTCTTTTGTCCGATTATCTGTTTTCGTACATACCAGTTTCAAAATGACCTCTCAGCTCTGTCGTAGCAGTCGTACCGTACGTGTAAACGCACGACAAAAAAATTTTGTCGCGACCCCTTTATAGTTTTCTATAGGTAATTATGAACAGTTATTATTTTTTCTTCTGATTGGCTGAATTCATTGGACCTTTAAATTTCTATACTTCCTGTGGCATTAAGAATGTAGGGAGGAGAGGGGCAGGTTTAATTTTGTCTCCTGGTGGAAGGTAAAGCTTTGTTTTTAGTGGAAGTGAACATAGCTTTACAGCTAGTTTACAAGCACTCCACTTATATAAATAGAAACAAATAATCCAAATAGACCATGAGAGTTTTCTAGGAACATATTACGATGCATTGCAAACTACCCCTCTCCAAGGGAAGTCTTAAGGCTTGTCACTAACAAGGAGGCGGCTCTAATGATTTTTTTTAACAGTTTCTTGATTGACTTCGAGCCGTCTGTGTGATGTCACAGTCATTAGCGAGGAAATTGTTACTGTTCGCGAATCAGATCATACGCGGAGAGTAAGCTTTGATATAATCATATGTTTTTCTGTAAAAGCCTTGTGAGGTTTTCCAGCCTGAGTATCAGGCCTTCCTAAGGGACTAGGGGAGAGATCTTGCCCCTTTTCCCCTGAAACGCCTGATACTCAGGCTAGAGGTTTTCCTGCGCTTAGATGTACCTTCTTGCTGGATTTTTGCTGCGAGGTAAGTCGCGGGACCGCCACTTTCACTTCGGGCCCGATCAGGTCGCAAATGAAATTCTACATACTTGAGGCCAATACAAACGGCCTTCTGATTGGCAACAAAAATACATTCAAGACTGGATTTTGCAAATGCGAACTTCTGAGATATGAAAAATCGTCTGCAAATTGACTGGTTGGCTTTGACTTAAAAATGCAGTTTTAGAGCAATAGAACTCAAGATTCGATTTCCAATACTTCGAGATCGACACTACTTCCGGCATTGATGATGCGAAAGGAACGGCATTTATGTTATCAGGTTGTCTAGTCAGTCTGATCACTGGACAGAATGTCATAATTCTAATATTACACGGCACGAAACGCGCCGAAACACTGGTACGTGTGTTACAGTCAGAAAACGGAGAATGTTATGAGAAGATAATAATGGAACCTCCGCGGACTCTCTAGAGCACGTTTAATAAAGGCCGCAAGAGAAAAATTGTACACTGCTCGTTAAGTTGAACATGGCTATTGTTGTCATTGTTGAAGGTGATCGCTCAAGTTTTTTGTAATCCAAGTTAGCTACCATAAATGAAATATAAATGAAATGACTCATATTTTAGCTATCATAAGTTACCTACACAGTACCGACTTATAGAATTTCTATATCTTGCTGAACAGAACATTCTCCTATTTCCTCGCTCTTCATCTGCATCTTAAGCCTGTCTCTCCATGACTCGCCTTAATACCAGCGTAGTTTAAAAACTTGGAAGGTTCAATAATCGAGTTTGATCGTAAGAAGTGATGTGCCATTCGAAGGCGAAAGTGAGCTTTGTCCGTCTGGTTCTTACAAAGAATACATATGTTTCTTCGTAGAGGATATTAGAAAATAACAACAGATCTCTGAAATAGTCATTTAGTGAACCAATCAATGAATCTCCTCTCGAACAAGCAGTTTTGTCTGCCTTTTTGTTTAACTTCAAGTGTATGGTGTTTCCACGGGGGTCCGCATACAAAAATAGTTGCTTCGTTAGCACTTTCGTTCTTTCGACCGTCCTAACATAGCATCGGCAATTGGATACTTCGTGGAATAGCTTCTGATTGGCTTATACATAAACACACACCTCCATCACGCCTCCCGATAGTCATATAAAGTGAACGTCATGCAATATTGTTTGCTTCGAGCAGTAAACCTTATTGCCTACAAAAGGGCGAAATTAAGTATTAAGTATTTATCATTGTAGTCAAAATTTAACAGGGGTCACTTACATATACAGTAGAATTTTTAAGCAAAATCTTTCTGAATCTCTTGGTTTTGCACTTTAAAGACGAAACCCAATGCAAAACAACAAAAATAGTAAGCGTTGAGAGTTTCTTTGCCGGCAAAGCGTTTTTGAATCACGTTCTGTTAAATGTTAAAAACGTAATAAACCTACCGATTGTTAATTCTTGTCCCACTAGCAGTACAAGGAGTACTTTGAAAATTCATACTTGCAAATCCTCTACTGTGTGGTAAAAGCAAAGCCAAAAATATACCCTTTTCCTTTTCTCTCTCTCTTCGAGAGTTGCCACATTATCTTGATGTTTTTGAAATGTACTAAAGAATATTTAAATTGCCTTTGCCCTTATTGGACATGGCTTACCTCGCTAACCAATCAAAAAAGACACAGATCGGGCTGCCGGCCAGAGGGCGCTACGCGCTCGGAACCTAGCGCATTTACATTTGGGAGACTGGAAAGCGCTCTTTCTCTTTGTTGTTTTGTCATTTAAGTCTATATTTTCAACCTTTGAACCAAGGGCATGTGATTCCTTAGTAGGATTACCAATCACATCGCCGCACTTGGGGTTTTCTTCCGGCATGCTTATGATGAAGAAAATGCAAGACGACGCCATCCAGACCGCCAGTTCATCCTGCTTTCATCCCGGTAACCGGGCTGAAGTGTCCATATGACTACCCTGCTAGCAGAAGCCCTTCGATCTTCCAAGATAAGTCTTATCTAGGAAGATCGATCGGCCCCTGCTCGCAGGGTACCACATGACCCTTTCCGTCAACAAACCGTAGCACGCTAGTGCGCGAGGGTCTCTCGCTTTTCGTGCTTTGCCTCCCTCCGGCTGTTCATGAACGTCGTGCAACGTTTGTCGCTTCGATTAGTTGCAGGAGTGCTCTATGCAAAGTGAATGCGTAAATAAATAGCAATCTAACAATAAAAATCAAAGACGGATTCTTGAGTCAGTTCACATTGCACCTCAGGGCGCTCATCACTCATCAGACGAAAAAAAAAACAAACAAACGAGAGTATAGCGTGACCTGCTTG